CTTTGGGAAAGATGTCATCCGTGGAAGGTAAGGAGTTAAATGAATATAGACTTCTACTTCATGCAGATGGCGGCACGTACAACACAGTTATATTAAACGACAGGAGATAAAGGTTTTTCCATTAAATAGCTCAAACAGAAAATTACATTCTTTTGGGTTACAGTAATGGGCCTTGTCCCTGATCTAACAACAAAACATAAAAGAGACGGGAGATAAAGATTTTCATTAAATAACTCAAACAGAAGATTACATTCTTTTGGGTTACAGTAATGAACTTTGTCCCTGATCTACTTCTATTTTACTACTGGAAAAATCTGAAGACAAGGCGAGTCAGCACCTCAGAAACCTGAGGGGAGGGCATTCGCTGACCCTTGCTGCCATGCCTGAGCCAGAAAAGGACCCCAGAGCGGGAAGGTGTGGAGAGGGCCCACCGTTCTCTCTTGATGACATTCAAAAGAGGCGAAATGGTACCAACGGGTTGGGATTGAAAGCCATTCCCCCCGTGGGCACCATCCAGTCACTCCCATGAAGACGGACAAGGAGGACGATAACGCATGAAGGAAGGACTCAAGGCCTATTTCCGCTTATACGGAAGGTGGAGGAGGATCCCGGAAGGTTCCGTCCTTTTCCCTGCGTATAAACGGTAGCCTATTTCCCCCCATGTCATAGTCCCCCCACTCCTCAGGTGGCTGTCCATATGACTGCTGAGGGGAGGGGGAACCCTGGGAGGAAGGCCTCGCACCAGAGACCAACCGGGAAGCTCCTGAGTGGGGATTGCGTCTCTTCTGCGGACGAGACGTGCCAGGACAGCCAGAAGAGACTTCCGTCCTGGCACCGTTAGGAAGCACGCCGGGACCCGGAAGAACACCCCCTGATACCTGTGGGGGGAGATGAGGGTTATTCTCCTCCCTGGGCAAGGGAGAAGTCACCGATTGTTCAGAGGCAAGAGAAGGCCCAGAAGAGAGTTCAGGTGTTGGGGCCCCAAGTGAGGGGAATGCCAACGAAGAAGAATCAGAAGAAGAATCGGAAATAGTAAGATCAATAAAGACAACTCTGTTGGCGTTATTAGCCATGTGGAGAATTTGATTGTGATGGTGAAGGGGTTCAGCCTAGTCCCTTAAATAGGCGAGTAATCCCAAAGGAGGAGTGCAAGGGACGCGGAGTCAAAGCACTTATCCGATTGGGAAGCAGTTGCGGATTCCCGAGGAAAGCTAGGGTTGCACCATTTCATTATTGGGCTAAGGGTAATTGGGCCCGGCGTAATTAAGGTGGGCCAGTCACTTAGCACGATGATAAACAAGAGAAACAGCACTTTGTGAACGCAGTTAAGCCCAAAGCCTAGGCGGATAAAAAAATCTGCTAAGTCCTAAGGAGAGATAAGAATCCCAAAAGGAGAACAGTGAGCTTAATGAAAGGAGTCTATGAGGACGGAAATACATCAAGTATTGTCAAGTTACTACCATTTAAATGTTACAAAGCAAAATACAACAGTTAGTGAAGAAAAGGAAAGTCAAGGCCCCGGGTCCACACGAGAATCTGGGGGAGAAAGAGGGAGAGGTAACCCGTAGCATGAGATGAAATCATCCAAGGATCGGTGAGCTGGAAGACCACTCCGGATTGCCTCATGAATGCAGTGTTGCATGTCAAATTTCCCTTCTTCATAAAGGGCTTCAGCACGGGCAGTCAGGGTGGCAACCTTCTCTTGATGGGCAGCAATTGCCTTCTCCAGTTCACCCATCCTTGACTGGAGCTCGCTGGCAGTCTATCTCTCTTTCCCCAACTTCTCGAGGGTAAGCCGTCTCGCCTCCATGTGCTTCAACGCGAGTTCGTTAAGACGGGAACCCTCATACTTGGCCTCCTGGAGGGAACTCTCCAGCTTAGAGATCCGGGATTCCCTTTCAACCAACTCATCTTTCAGACTTCCCACCTTGTCTTCTGAAGCTGAGGCCTTTGATTCCAGAATGGAGATTTGTGCCCGGAGTCTGTCAAACTGCATTTCTAGATCTTGAGTCCCCCTTTGGTAAGCAGCAATTTTCTCTTGCAGGGACTTGACTCTGGACCTTTCAGCTGCTAGTTCCATAGAGCCATTTTCCTTGAGCCGGGAATTCTCTTCTTGAAGGGCCTGAACTTGTTGCTCCAGAGAATCAACTTTCTGTTGCAGAGCCCTGGCCGCCAACTCCTTCTCCTTCAGGGCCACCACGGCCCGGTAGTTCCCTAATGCTCCACCCAGGTACTCCTGAGTGAGGGTGAGGAGTGATTGTTGGGCCTAGGGAGGGGAAGGGAAGTCAAGAAAGAGATAACTAAAAAGAGATAAAGAGATTCTTGAAAAGGAAGAGTACCTGCTCCATGGAGTAAAGAGCATTGAGAGCAAGCAGGTCGGGACGAGCCTGAGGGATTGTGGGCTCCTTTAACGACTCCTTCATCTTCTCCAGATTTGCTTGAATGGTCCAATGGGAGGCCTGCATGGAGATCAAATCGCGAGAGAACCCAGCCCATCCTTCCTTGAAAGCGGGATAAGTTTGCGGTGTGAACTTACGCCGGATGGGGACATTGAGTGCTGGAGGTGTGGTAGTAGAACACTGTCCCTCCGGCTCTGATTGTTTCTCGGGCTCTCTTTCCATTTCTGGGGGAGCTCCCGTATCCCTCTGCTCTTCAACCTCATTCTCTTTCGAGGGGGGAGTTTCCGGTTCTGTCTGCACGTCAACCTCCTTCTCTGTCGCAGAAGAAATCTCTGGTTCTTTCTGCCCCTCAACTTCTTCCTCCACTTCTTGGGGAGCAGTTGCAGTTTGTGAGGAGGTATTGTTTACCTCAGGCTGAGGCTGCGCCGCCGGTTTTTTGAGTGGTGCTTGGTCTGGGAGTTCATCTGCCTCATGGTCCAAGCTATCCGGGTTGGGTAGCTCTAAACCTCCGGGTGCAGCAGCGGGGGTGGTATTCTGAGTACCTAAAGAAGTAGACAGAGGGCTGGGCGAAGCAAGAGTACCATCACCCTTACTCTTCTTGGGAAGGAAGTCATCATCTGTGACCCCTTCTTGTGGCCGTTTCTGGGACGGAGTGGGCCTCCTCAGCCCAGGGATAGCAGAGATGGGGACAGCCTCCAGGGCAGCAGTCGGCTTGCGGATGGCCAAGGCAGTGAAGTCACCTAGGGTTTGGACCCCAGAGGAGCTCCCGGCTGAACCGGATTCCACAGCAGGAGGAGCCTTTGATCTTTCAAGAGAAGGCTCCCCTTCAAACGGAACAGGGTCAGGACCCAGGGGATAGTAAAAATCCGCCTTCTGGTATAACCTGGCGTCTTGAAGGGAGTGATGTGGAATTAAACCCCCTTTGTCTCTCAAGACGTTGTACACTTCCTCCGCCGAGTGTGCCGTAGCGAACTTCGTCCGGGAGATAGAACTACGAAGAACAACACCCGGCAGATCTAAGGGACTGTGAGCTGGGAACTCAATGACGAAGTATCGCTGGGACCATTTGTCATTCTTAAACTCAACCCTCTCAAAAATTGGGGCATGAGAATGGGGATACAAGCTGTAAAAAGGAAAAGACCCACCAATACTGAAGAGGATGAGGAATTCGTCCAATGTTGGGGTTCTGTCCAGAGCACAGCACCGCAAGATGTAGGAGGCGACATACTTGTGCGCATTGGCAGTCAACTGACCAGGAGCGAATCCGAAATGACGGCAGAGGTCGAGGAGCAGACCATGGAGGGGTAATTTGAACCCGTTCTCCACAGAGTGATATTGCATGACCATATACTTCTAGGGGTTTGGATTGTAGGATAAACTAATCCCCCCGACGGCATCGGGATGGGTGACCCGGAAGCCCTTGCCCAGAAGCACGGCCATTTCTCGGAGTTCATCCTCCTTAATGATAGAGGGTTCGTGGGTCCAGGTTTCGGGATTTGCAGGAGCCATTTCGGAGAAGGGAGTTAAAATTTGGGGGAAAATTGCAGTCGGAATTCGGGTTGGGTTAAGATTCGGTAGCGAAGGAGGAAGAAGACGAAACAAGAAGGGGTTATATCCGTTGAAAGGATGGACCTAGGGTACTCGAGTGCGACGTTTCTAATCCGACACGAAAACCGAAGGCGGCTCATCATTAGTTTTCTAGCGACGTCACCAGAAAACTAGGGGGCTTGTGATGGATATCGGGTCTGATGGACCCGACTCCAGGCCAATGAAGGCCCATAACAGCGCGCGACGTATAAGGCCAGGTGGGGGTAACGGGCCGTTCCCGATACCACGCGTGTGGCAATGGAAAAAGACGGCCCAATCATGGATTAAATCAAGGTGACCTAGTCCAAGAAAGGAATGGGACACGTGGCCCACATCATTAAGTTGTGGACGAGATGGGAAGAGAACGAGACCGAAAAAAAGGGGATCACAACCCCATGATCTCCAGAATTTCTCCCATTTTGTATAATTTTAATTGCAATATTAGAAGTACTATAAAAGGGGGAGAACCCGCCATTGTAAAGGAGAGGAAGTAATTCCATACTTAATCAAAGAATATTATCGAGTAATTATATCTTTCTGATCCATATTATGTTCTTGGTCCGCCATCTGATCGGGTTAATCCCATCAGGTGGTTTACTGTTAACAGAATGTAAAGAAGAATAAATGTAACAGTACCGAAGCTTACTGAGTGAACATTGTAAAACAATTGCCCTGTGTGCTAGACTTGGCTACCGTAAAGCGCTCCAAAAAATTTTCATCATTTACAATCTGATGTACAAAAGAAGTTTTTCAAAAGAGCTTGTTGCTATTTTTTTGACGTCTAACTCAAACAAAGGTGGCTTATTTCTATGGCCCCGTTTGGTACACGGAATTCAAACTATGGAATTGGAATTGAGGACATCAATTCCAATTCTGGTGTTTGGTAGCACAAAAATTATGTGGATTTGGAATTGATAGTGCAAAATTTGAATTGGAATTATCAGAATTCAATTCTACTGAATTGAATGCCATGGAATTTCAATTCGAATTCAATTCCAATTCCGTCAATTCCGTATACCAAACGGACCCTAAATGTGTTAAACTCTATAGGGATTTTCAGATCATCACCCTAAAACAAAGTAAATATCAGTTTTGTATAAGAAGAGAAGTAATTATAAAGAATGAATTGTTTATTAAGAAGGTTGTTTGGAAGACACCTTACAGTTCCATTTAAGAAAGCTTCTGCTTGTTTTCCAAAGAGCGAAATGCATTGTTTATCCCATAAGATCAATGCAAGATTGCATGTTTCGTCAATGACGTGCACTTTCTAGCGGTACCTGTCCATATAGTGAAAAAATGACACATTTATATATTTGGGCTTAAAATATATTTAATTAACACTCTTAGAGGCATTGTGCATATACCTCAAAACAGTTCCTAATATGTAACAATATGCACATGAATAAGTTGCATTAGCCGGAATCAGTCTCCTGTTCAAAGCCAACTATCTTACAAAACACCCAAACACGATCCTGTTGAGTATCAGAGTAGGAAAAGCATACTGTCTATAATTTACTGACATTGTGGGAACTGTATTACAGTTTTAGTACACCTGACCCTACATGTATTTTTGAGTTTAAACCAACATGTTTTTTTAAAAGCAAAAAAAACGAACATATGTAGATGATATAATTCAGAGTTGATGTGTGTGTACATACCAGTAAAGTGTCACAAAGTTCTTCTAAAGTTTTTACATCAAATGTTGGAGGCAGTGGTTTGGATGTAGAACTACTAAAGCATAGAACTTCCGGTACAGATATTCCCTTTGCCAAAAATCTGTTGCATTTTTTTCTTTAAGCGTATGAACATAGATTACTTAATAACTTGTAAAGTTTAGTATACATACTTTTTCTTGAACTCCAATATGGGTGGATGGTTTTGATCAAGAATAAGTTTTGTTACATCAAAAATGTTGTTGCCTTGTTCTTCTTGTTGGGAAAATCACCTCAATTTTCTAGCGGAAGCAATTAATAATTTTCCCGTCTTTGTGTTGTCAAAATGGGCAAAATCATATGACCAATCAAGAATAGCAAACACAACAACAATCAATCAACCAAACGATAAACGAACACCAAGATTTAACGTGGAAACCCCAAATCGGGGAAAAAACGAACCCTTCCACTAATCACCAAGAAAATCAGTGGGTACACCAAGAATCCTCTCTAAATCAATTAGAGGTATACACAATCATCAAGCAACAACTTGGAACACCAAATGACAATAATCTTCACTCAAAAGTGAGAAATCCCCAATAAAAACGCAGCAGTAAACAGAGACAATTTTACCAACATCGAGAGGTCAAAACAACAATCCCACCGTTGGATATGAAAAAGAGGATGTGAGGAACAACATACTAAAATTTCATCCCGATCGGAGCTCGTTTGGTCGTCGATAGGAGCACAAAACCAGGCTGCACCTCTCTTTTTCTCTCTTCTTCCTTCTCTCGGCTCTCTCTATTTTTCTTCTCTGTTTCTGCGCTATACGGCTGCTCTATTCTGTCCGTGACCAGCCACAAAAGGCTTTTGCCTTTTCTACAAAGTGGCAGCCCCACTACTTTGACTATTCCCATTCTTTTTTTTCTTTTATAATAATAATAATAATAAATATTATTATTATTATTATATTACTCCACCTCTAAACAAATTACATTTTTAACACTAAATGCATTGTTTAGAAACTCCTTCCTCCATGTAGGAGGGATGCCTCAACAAATCTCCCCCTCACTCCTACATGGGGGTAAAACTCAATGATGATAAATACTCCCTCCGTCCCGCTATATTCGTCCACTTTTGACTTTTGGAACTGTTCATCTAAGCACTTTGACTCATCAAATTCTCTCAATGTATAAGCCTAAATATAGTCATGCGTGATCTTGTTTGATTTGTCTTAACATATAGATTATTAATATATAATTTCTATAATTTTTTAATATACAAATTACAAGATAAAATGGATTAAAGAAGTGTATTGGATGGTGTGCAAAAATAAAAGTGGACAAATATAGTGGGACAGAGGGAGTATCATACAAACCTTTCACAACCAACTGCGCCAAGTTCGTAGGTTGTGAGCAATGCTCTCTTCTCTTCAACTTGAACACCCGATTGCTCTTGGGTGCTCTCTTGCTTCCATACAACTATACCAGGGAATGACCATGTCCATCAAGCAAGGATATAACCCCATCTCGCTTGGCTTGAAACCGTTCACTTTGGTGCACCTTTCTCACTTCTTCCCGGTAGCAATCTCTCTCAAATATACCAATTTGAGGAACACTAGGTGGCGGAACTCCATGCTCGGAATGAGGTGGCTCAAGTACATCACCATCACGAGCAACATCATCACCACAACATTTTCCTCCATCTTCTCCCCCATGATCTGAATGTATGGTAAGAAAAGGAATGTCACCTTCAGGGAGGATATACTCACAACTCTCAAGCATGTGATCAAGCCTCTTGTGCGGTGTCTCCGTGGAGGGCGCAGTATTCTGATCTCCTCTGCACATCTTTGCTTGCATCACGTAAATCCTATTCTCTTTCTTACCTCGGGCCACGATTAAAGAACCTTTGGTGAGCTTCCACTTTCCTTCACCAAGGCGGCTAACATAACCATCTCCGTCAAGTCCTCCAGCAGAAATAAGGTTGAACTGAAACTCTGGAACATGTCTGACATCTCTGAGGATCAACCTGCAACCAGTGTTGGTCTTCAAACAAACAGTGCCCATCCCAATAATCTTAGATGATTTTTCACCCTTTCCCATCTTTACATAGCCAAAATCACCGCTAGTGTAAGATGAGAAGAACTCTCGATGAGGTGTGAGATGACATGAGGCACTCGAATCAATAATCCAAGTGCAGTCCTGAAAAGCAACATCAAAGCTAGTGTCATCGCACACAAAGAATAAATCATCTGCATCTACAAGGGCTGCTGTGTCTTTCTCCTCTTTCTTCTCAGAAGTCTGACCATTTTCCTCTTTCTGCTGGGCTTTATCTCGCTTCATCTTTCTGCACTGAGATATCTTATGACCCGGTTTATCACAATAGAAGCATTTCACTTCGCTTTTTGATTTAGATCTCCCCCTGGATTCAAACTCTCTATGTCTGTGTCTTCCACGACCCTCTATCTCAGCAACATGAGCCTGATCTGAATAGCTAGAGGAACTCAGATCTCTTCTCCTAGCTTCTTCGTTCAGCAGACTCGACTTCACAACATCCATTGTGAGCTTACCCTCTGGAGCAGAATTGCTAAGTGATACAACCAAGGTCTCCCAGCTTTCTGGCAACGAGCTGAGGAGCAACAACGCCTGAAATTCATCATCTAAAACCAATTTCATAGAAGACAACTGGTTAATCAATCCCTGAAAATCATTCAAATGCTCTACCACACTATGCCCATCCCTGTAATCAAGTTTCACAAGTCTTCTCATAATAGAGGCTTTATTCAGGGCATTTTCTCTCTCATACATGCATTTGAGTTTCTCCCACAGTTCATAGGCGTTGGTATCATTAGCAACATGCTGAAACACACTATCATCAATAAATTGCCTAATCATTCCCACAGTTTTTCGATTAAGCAATTTCCAAGTACCTTCTTGTTTACCGCTTGGCATCTCCTTATTCAAGATCGGTTCATGCAAATCCTTAATATATAAAATATCTTCCATCCTGGGTTTCCAACTTTGATAATTGGAGGAGTTCAATTTAGTCATGAGGTATTTACCTAAATAAGACTAAAACATAATGACTTTCCCAATATAGGACCATATGTTTTTATTTCCAAATGTAGGACGGGTTATTATCAATTAAGTAGTCATTATTCAAGTAAATGTCTAGCATTACTGGACATTATTCCTCCCACTAGGTCATTATTAAGTCTTATTTAAAGAATAAAAAAGTTTTAGTCCTACATTAGGAAAGTTATTATGTTTTAGTCCTATTTAATGCAAATTTACTTTAGTCATTCCCCCAAAAACAGCTTTATCCTCCATTTTAACAACACAAGAAAATCACCCACAAATATGACTCAAGCTCTGATACCAATTGTTGGGAAAATCACCTCAATTTTCTAGCGGAAGCAATTAATAATTTTCCCGTCTTTGTGTTGTCAAAATGGGCCAAATCATATGACCGATCAAGAATAGCAAATACAACAACAATCAATCAATCACACGATAAACGAACACCAAGATTTAACGTGGAAACCCCAAATCGGGGAAAAAACCACGAACCCTTCCACTAATCACCAAGAAAATCAGTGGGTACACCAAGAATCCTCTCTAAATCAATTAGAAGTACACACAATCATCAAGCAAAACTTGGAACACCAAATGACAATAATCTTCACTCAAAAGTGAGAAATCCCCAATAAAAATGCAGCAGTAAACAGAGGCAATTTTACAAACATCGAGAGGTCAAAACAACAATCCCACCGTTGGATATGAAGAAGAGGATGTGAGGAACAACATACTAAAATTTCATCCCGATCGGAGCTCGTTTGGTCGTCGATAGGAGCACAAAACCAGGCTGCACCTCTCTTTTTCTCTCTTCTTCCTTCTCTCGGCTCTCTCTATTTTTCTTCTCTGTTTCTGCGCTATACGGCTGCTCTATTCTGTCCGTGACCAGCCAGGAAAGGCTTTTGCCTTTTCTACAAAGTGGCAGCCCCACTACTTTGACTATTCCCATTCTTTTTTTTTCTTTTATAATAATAATAATAATAAATATTATTATTATTATATTACTCCACCTCTAAACAAATTACATTTTTAACACTAAATGTATTGTTTAGAAACTCCTTCCTCCATGTAGGAGGGATACCTCAACAAATCTCCCCCTCACTCCTACATGGGGGGTAAAACTCAATGATGATAAATACTCCCTCCGTCCCGCTATATTCGTCCACTTTTGACTTTTAGAACTGTTCATCTAAGCACATTGACTTATCTAATTCTCTCAATGTATAAGCCTAAATATAGTCATGCGTGATCTTGTTTGATTTGTCTTAACATATAGATTATTAATATATAATTTCTATAATTTTTTAATATACAAATTACAAGATAAAATGGATTAAAAAAGTGTATTGGATGGTGTGCAAAAATGAAAGTGGACAAATATAGTGGGACAGAGGGAGTATCATACAAACCTTTCACAACCAACTGCGCCAAGTTCGTAGGTTGTGAGCAATGCTCTCTTCTCTTCAGCTTGAACACCCGATTGCTCTTGGGTGCTCTCTTGCTTCCATACAACTTTACTAGGGATTGACCATGTCCATCAAGCAAGGATATAACCCCATCTCGCTTGGCTTGAAACCGTTCACTTTGGTGCACCTTTCTCACTTCTTCCCGGTAGCAATCTCTCTCAAATATACCAATTTGAGGAACACTAGGTGGCGGAACTCCATGCTCGGAATGAGGTGGCTCAAGTACATCACCATCACGAGCAACATCATCACCACAGAAATAAGGTTGAACTGAAACTCTGGAACATGTCTGACATCTCTGAGGATCAACCTGCAACCAGTGTTGGTCTTCAAACAAACAGTGTCCATCCCAATAATCTTAGATGACTCTTTACATAGCCAAAATCACCGCTAGTGTAAGATGAGAAGAACTCTCGATGAGGTGTGAGATGACATGAGGCACTCGAATCAATAATCTAAGTGCAGTCCTGAAAAGCAACATCAAAGCTAGTGTCATCGCACACAAAGAATAAATCATCTGCATCTACAAGGGCTGCTGTGTCTTTCTCCTCTTTCTTCTCAGAAGTCTGACCATTTTCCTCTTTCTGCTGGGCTTTATCTCGCTTCATCTTTCTGCACTGAGATATCTTATGACCCGGTTTATCACAATAGAAGCATTTCACTTCGCTTTTTGATTTAGATCTCCCCCTGGATTCAAACTCTCTATGTCTGTGTCTTCCACGACCCTCTATATCAGCAACATGATCCTGATTTGAATAGCTGGAGGAACTCAGATCTCTTCTCCTAGCTTTTTCGTTCAGCAGACTCGACTTCACAACATCCATTGTGAGGTTACCCTCTGGAGCAGAATTGCTAAGTGATACAACCAAGGTCTCCCAGCTTTCTGGCAACGAGCTGAGGAGTAACAACGCCTGAAATTCATCATCTAAAACCAATTTCATAGAAGACAACTGGTTAATCAATCCCTGAAAGTCTCTCACCACTGGACGTAAACATTACATTTCTGAAAATAGTACATAATCTAATACACAAAAATAAATATAAAAAAAACTTTTAAAATTATGGTCTACTCCAACACTATGTTTGGCTCAAGGATTTTGGAAGGAAAAGAAAAGAAAATAATTTTCTCTCATTTTCCTCACCAAAATGGAAGGAATTTGGTTTTCCCTCCACTTGGTACATTTTGTCTCTTCATTTTCTTTTCTTTCCACTTTTCCTTTCTTTTCCCCTCAAACCAAACAAGAAAAATGGTTTTCCACTTCATTTTCTTTTCTTTTCCCTTTCAAACTCCTTGAACCAAACATAGTGCAAATCTTCTAGGAATATATCCATGACTCAAACTTCTGCCCCTCTTTCTGATATTGTTAGTTGATGGTTGGTCAACGTTTAATAACCCAGTAAGTTCTAAAATGAAGGATAAGCGTTAGTAGTCATGAAAAACACTAAACAAAAGGAATTTTGTAAGTTGGAAAGTAAATTTGTGAAAATTTACCAAACATGAATCGATTTTGAATATCTATGGCATTGTTTAGTTCTTTGAAATTGCCAAAGTTGAAAACAGTTTCATGAAAAGAGTCGTCATTCACATCCGTTATAAGGGTATCTTGAACAAATGTAAGTGTGTACTAGTTGTCTTTCAACCATTGAGTATTCCTTGAGACGATTCGGTTCTGTATCCCATGCATGTAATTGACCCTCCTTAAGCAAAGGCTTAAAGCATGGGATTAAAGGCTTCTCACAAAAAGCATGTATATGATTTTCATATAGTTATAAATGAAAATAATTAATAAAATAACGAAGAAAAGGAATTGTGAAGTTGAAAAATTTACACTATTATAAACCTGGTCATCTTGGAAAATAGCTATGTGGCCATAGAGTGTGTTCTATGTGTTAGACAAGGCGTGCAACTCTAGAGGGGGGGTGAATAGAGTTGTTGAGAATGTTTACCGATTTTCGCAGGATTAAAAATATAAACGTAAGTGCAGCGGAAATAAAAGAGAGAAGGCAAAGAACACACCGATGTATACTGGTTCACCACCTCGTGGCTAGTCCAGTTCCTCGAGAGACTCTCTCGAAGCTACCACTACTTCCGTTAAGCTTACGGGTGCTTAACAAACCGTTTACAACTCGAGAACTTGAATCCCACAAGCCTCGACACAACCGCTCGTAGATATGCCCTCTACAAGACTTCACAACCAAGACTTAAATCACATAAGCCTTGAACAACAAGAAGAACAATCTTCTTCAACCTCTCAACAATAGCTCTCACAAGAGTAGAAATGAGAAAAGATTAAGCTCTATGGATGACAAGAACACTCTCTTGAAAACACTTAGTTTTCTCTCAAAATATATTAATTTGAGGAAGAAATGAATGGAGGATTATAACCTCAAGATTGGGGGATTTTAGGAGTGCTTGTGCATCATAAAAATGACCAAGGAGTGAAGTTTATAAAGGGGTTGAAGGAATATATCCGTTGGTCCAAGAAAAGAAGCTGTGATGAAAAATGCAGCATCATAATCGATTAATGCATCACCATAATCGATTAATGCATCATAAAAAATCGATTATGGCAGCTGAAAAAATCGATTATAATTGCCAGAGCCAAATTCCTTCTGCGCAGAAAAGTGATAATCGATTAAAACCAAAGGTGTTAATCGATTAGTTCCTTCTGGACGCGATAATCGATTAATTCCAAAGGTAAAATCGATTATTGGAACAATAATGCCTAGACATGAAGGACACAAGCATGTGGGCGAGTAGGGAGGATAAAACGGAGCGTATACGTTTTTTTGAGACAACGGGAATCAGGGAAGCGCTCCTCCTCTCTTATTCAATGAATTTGAATAAGGGAGTAAAAGTGAGTCCAAAAATTATTTTGTGTGTCAAACGATGTACATAGAAAAATTTGAATAAAATATTTTTACTTACCAAAAATATTTTATAATATCAAAATAAATATTTGATAAATGTTTGGCACATCTTTTGTAACTGACTCAATAAAACTATTTTGAACAGTTAAAAAGATTTTTCAACTGACTCCAAAAATAAATATAATTTTTATTTTAACTCTCATAAAAATAATTTTGGAGAGAAGATATTTTTGTCATCCTTACAATAATTCCTAAGACTCAAATAAATAAAAAGTCTTCGGAAATCTTCTACTCCTCCGAGTCCTCCGTTAGGCGCTTCGAATGCGTCTTGGACTCCAATAAAATCCTGTGCACCTTCTTGAATACTTCAAGGAATGACACTTCAAGTCTTCATGTTTGTCGTTGTAGCACTTTGATCTTGACTTGAATAAAGTGTGTTTGTCAATTATCAAAACCTGTGAGTCAACACTTAACAACACAGAAAGGGTTGAACTCATGCATTCCAACACTATGTACTCTTTCTTGTTTTGAGATCGTAATGACGCAAAATTCATAACTTTATAGCATCACGATGGCGAGCAGGATGTAGCCTGTTGAGAGGAACCCAAACTGGAGACATATTTCGCACTTTTTTGGAAATTTTTTGCAGGAGGAAAGTATGAGGCATGAAAGAAATATTTATGATAGATGAAGGAGTTGAGTGATGGAGAAAAGTGAGATGGAGGTTCATAGGCCATGGGGGGAGTTTATCGCAGGTATGCAGAAGTTTTTCCGCAGGATTCGTCACATGTGGGCAATTGTGGTTTGTGAGTGGGGGTCTGCGCTTATGGCTCTGTTGGGTTCTACGCTTCGATATGGCAGCGGAAAACAAAAATTTTGATGTCCAAACGTAGATCCACCCAGGACCTCTTATGATTATTACTCTGTATAAGTTATTGTTTAGAAATATACCTTTCTTGGCGAGCAAGCAACGATATGTGTTGGTTAATGGATTGATCCAAGAGCTAGCCACAAAAGTATATGACCTCCAGTTGAGACTCACGAACAATGAAGAGCATTCTAGAGAAAATTATGCTAGTAATTTTACTCTAGAATTTTTCTAAAATATAAAATATTTGGTGTAAAGTATTAAGAGAACAAAACAAATTTTTCTCTCTTGAATTATGCTATGCCCAAAATTTCTAGTGTGAAAAGGGGTGGGATGATCTCCTATTTATAAAGAGCATAATCCCCATTCCTATTCCTAATAGGAATGTACCTTTTAGAATTTAGGAAGGAAATCAAATCTCATTCCTATTCTACTTAGGAAATTTCAAATGGCACTTTAAGGAAGCTTCCAATATATTTTGTCAACATTAATTATCATATAATGAACACAAAATAAATAATATAACATTTATTATATATATACATATATACGAAACATATATATAAATATATATATATATATATATATACGCCGAACACACACACACAGATATATATATATATATATATATATATATATATATATATATATATATATATATATATATATATATATATATATATAGGCCGGTTCTTGTGAGAATGCACCTTGTGGATAGAAATGAGAATAAAATCTAGCCGTTGGATCTGACGCATCGTGCGGCTCAGATTGCATCCTGCGCTCAGATTTCCAGATAGTGCATTTTCGAAGGATTTTGATGCATTTTGACGTGATGCATTTTAAAACCATTTTGGTGCATCTAATTTTGGTGCAATCCTGACCTTTAGATCTCACAATCTAAAGCACCAGATTCATACTCATTTCTCTCCTAAGATCGCATTCTCACCAGAACCAATATATATATATATATATATATATATATATATGGGATTGACTCCAGTCAGATGACATCTTTCGGTCAGATGACACTTTCGGTCAGATGACATGCTTCAGAATGAGCACCACCTTTTTTGAGAATGAGCACTGCCTTATTTCAGAATGAACACTACACTGAGAAGACTGTGAATGAGTACTAGGTTGTTTCAGAATGAGTACTACGGTTATAATGAACAAATGTGTGAAAGTCAACCCTACGATTTCTTAGAATGAACACTACATGGATTCAAAATGAACCCTATGTTGTCGTCTCGCTGGATGTGAATGAACACTACATTGTGATGAACAGTTGTGTGAGAATGAATCCTAGGTTGTTTAAGAATGAGCGCTACATTGATTCAGAATGAGCATTCGTTGTCATCTGACCGAAAGTGTCATCTGACCGAAACATGTCATCTGACTGGAGTCAATCCCTATATATATATATATATATATATATATATATATATATATATATATATACATATATATATATATATATATATTTATATTTCGTGCCTTAATAATAATACTAAAATAATAAACAATTTATTATTCATATATATATATATATATCCGAATATATATACATATATATATATATATTTTATTATTATTAAATATATTTGACAAACTTAATTATCACATAATTAAAATGTCCAAATATTTATATATATATATATATATATATATATATATATATATATATATTTATATATATATATATATATATATGTTTGTGTATTTAATCATATTGTCATACAATATAATACACACGATATATAAATAAAGTACAACTTTACTCCACTTAAATATTCTACACTTTCATATGTTCTATGTGTGTGACCCTATTCTAGGCATCTTTAAAATTGGTCATAGTATATAATACTATAAGTGATAAACGGTATCTATCAACACATTATCACCACCAAATTATAGATTAAAGCTCTTGGAACAATTCCTTCAACGACACATTCAATTTGTATAACTCTTATCCCTTTATCACTAATATCTTGATTTAACACAAGGTATGGGGTGTGTCACCTTGTTAGAGTTAAATTGATGGTTTATTGATTCTTCGATTGAGTTGTGGGATTCAAATAACATATTTATTTGGGCATGGCCAATCACTTCCTAAGTCACATCAATCAGTGGGCCCTAAGATATTATACTTCATCAAAGAAGGGAGAAATTCTATCTACGTCATTCACATCTTCGCTTAAGTTTCATTGCATACCCAAAACATAACTGTACATCCACCAATATTTCAGATGGCATAAATCATGCCTCAAAGTATACAACTCAACTTACCAAAGAATGTAATGACTTCAAGTCGAAGGATAGTTATACTAATGGTCGCATAAGAATAATATTAACACTTTAACTCAAACCCATATATTATTCTCATAGCGGGTCAATCCAGCAATATATCCAATATGGTTGCCTACGTATAGATTCAGATAACACTTTATCTATAGCCTATGAGACGCAGCTATCTCATCTCATACGTATTAGTCTTGATATATTATGATGTCTGTATTATCATAATATTCGACTAAGGATATTTTAGACGTAGTGTAACACCCCAACCCGCGTGTCCCGAATACAAGGACCAGCGGACCAGGTTGTCACTAGATTGGCATTCAAACGCAATAATTTCCAAAACAATTTAAAACATTTATTTCAAAACAATATCTAAACATCCATCAGAGTTAATCAAAACGGTGCGGAAGCCTTTAAGTACTTAATCAAAATACATCTTTGGGTTGTTGCCCTTAAAAATATAATAATTCAAACTTGAATATTAAATTAGATAACTCCTCCAGCTAGCATCCATCCATCTCTTCGCCCTCGCTGCCTCCAAGACCGTCTCATTATTCATCGTTCCTGTTACCTACGTGTAGCAAATAGGAAAAAGGGCTACACGCTCAGCATTGAAGCTGAGTGGAACTATCTAACGTTTCGACTACGCACATAGACGAACCCACTAGCTCATAACTTCATACAATATCATGCACACAAGTTCAACAGTAATTATAGCACATAATAATTATCAGATAAAACAACTATATTATAACAACATACTTGAGATCACTTACCTTCATTCTTCATCTGCACAAGTCAACATTCAGGTCATTACATTAACTCATATCCAACACTAGCTCATAACCTATTCTAGGCTAAGGCCAATTCCTTATTATCCACATTCTTATCTTAGGACTTAGAGCCACTACCTACGGCCATGACTCAAAGTCTATTCTATGACATCAGAACCACTACCTACGGCCATGATTCTGGTCAACCCGGTACCTACGGCGCCAGTTGGGTGGAACCTCCAATCCTACGGATCAGATCCCAGATTCCATGTACGTACATCTTTACCCGCATGCCACTGGACTAAGTCCACAAGGCTCTACAACCTATTGTCACCTTACAATCTCAATTCTCACAAAGTAGTCCTAGAGTTCATCTAGGTAACCTATCTCATTAACTTACTTCAATTATACAGATCCAAGCTAACAACAACCTCAATTTACTTTATTCGTTAAAGGCATATCACACCACATTTACAACAAATCAAGAGAGTAGAATTAACTAAATAAATCATCATGCAATCCCAATACAAATAGCGGCCTAATGTCAAGTGTAAACACCTTCCATTTACCGTCATGCAACACATAAGGGCTCAGAGTCAATTCGGGTTCTAAATTGGGTCAAAGAATCAAATAGTGGAAACTGCTGCTGTCGGTACGGTACCTCGGTACCGCCCGGCGGTGCCTAGGTACCGTCGGTACGGTACTGGCATACCGCTGGTTCCAGTTACCGGCAGCAACGCAGAGCTACGGGGGTTGGGTACGGTACTTCGGTACCGTCGACCGGTACCTTGGTGCCGTTTGGTTCCTTTAGCGCACAGTAAGTCGGAAATTTAGCAAAAAACAGGGCATGCTTCGTTGATTCGTCAATTAACAACCAATACAAAAATCCACAGGGCTAATGATACACATAATCACGTAACTAGGGGTAGAAAACGTACCTCGTTCTCCATCGATTCATCAATTTCAATAAATCATAATATACGAATAAATCATAATTCAATTATAAACAAATAAACCACGTAATCAATCATACGAAACTATGAACGTGAATTTCAAATCTATATACATAATCTAGCGTTAGATGTGCAAGTTCTGACCTCGATTAACTGACGAATTAAACAAAACAATTCAACGGACAAGGAAGTCAAATTGGCAGACGGTGGCGGGGCTGTTTTCCCGTGACGCAAGCGGCGGAGGCCGATGGTGGAGCGGCTCCCTAGTGGCGGTCTCCTTCCTCCGCGTCCAGCTCTGTTCCGTCGGTTTCGTTCCCGGTCTCCCCTGGCGGTTAGCTCCGTATATCGTTCCTCTGTCTCTCTTTTTCTTTCTTTTCTGCGGCGGGTGTGCGTGTATGTATATTATATAGGGGAGGGGAGGGTTTCTTTTTCCTTTTCCAATTCGTAGTAGGAGTGGAGAGAGTTTATATCTTATTATTTTAATTATAAAATCTTTATATTTATTTATTGAGTTGTAACATTTATTTTACTCACCACGCTTTACACGTATATCCAAATTTAACAAATTATATATCGTAGGTCACCATTTTACGAGATATACCCGAAAACCCAATTTTCATTTAAAACGGATAACTTTACCAATAATTCATATTTTAGAGTAAATAAATTTAATATTTATTTTTATTAAAATAACGGCTAACTACTAAGCCGGGTTTTGGGTCGTTACACGTAGCCTCTATCGTTGTAACAGCCTCATAATCAGAACGTCGTAGTTCTCATCTGTGTTACTAGAGCGCCTACTCTATGGACTAAAGCTATGTTTAAATCACACGAGACGACTTAAACAATCTTTAGGGCCTATTTTTCTTGATGTAATCATAGATATGGAATCATAAGTTGGCCACTAGGGCTCACTTATATTCAACAATCTCCCACTAGCACTAAGGCCAATTATGGTTCCCATGTATGCCTCATGCACGAAGTGTGACCCTCGTGTATAGGTTTTACCAAAGCCTAGGTCAATAGGTTAAGATATTGTTTGTCCTTTTCTATCTTGCAAATTTTGATACTTTCATTGTTACGATTGTTCGTATAATGTGGTGAGATCTAATGATGTTTTGGTTTCTAGGTGTAGCTTCTTAAGCTCTTGTATTAACCCTATCATTGTCAGTACAACGAGATATTGGTTTCTAACGCTGGGAGCAATGCTATCCTTTTGAGAAGCTATCAAAACCAAAATATCTTCCTCTTTGCTACTTCCAAAGTTGCAAATTTATCTCACTTATATGCGTATGACACCATGTCAATACTTGTCAATATATGTTTTTGTTAATTTCAACCTACCTTATGGTTGTTCTAAACGAACTATTTTGAGTGTAACATTCACACTTAAGCCATTTTAGAAGACCATACTCTTTTGTCTCTTCTTAAGAATCAAAAGTTAACTTTTACAAAGTTGACGAATACTCTTAGCTCAGCTTGGACATATTTAAAATATATTCCTTTAGAATAAATCAAGTCCATATCTCATGATACTCTATGGAACGATTTCCATGCGGTCCTTTTATAGAGTGAGTCTCCAAAAAGGCTTTACCCTGAGATTCATGCAAGTTTCAAAAACTTCCATATATGTACTGGTCTTAGATTATTCCTAGTGCTTTGATCCATCTATATGGATTCTTTAGACTTGAGCACATAACTACTATTTTCATTTATGACTGATAAGTTTTAATTTATTTTGTCAATGATATGCAACATAGTTATTGTGCTCCCACTAGTCTTCAATAAGACTTTTATCCTAGACATATAAGTGCTATAACTGGTTATAGATAATTAGAAACCCTTCTCTTATCCTTCATAGATTCATCCAAAACAAGTAATTGAAGTGTCTTCATTCATGTGAGACATACTTTCATTATTTGTTATTTAAGGAAGGAATCGTTATGGAACAGATTCCAAGTATTCTCTCCTTTTAGAGTCTATAATGGATATTTTAGTGCTTAAGGTGCTGTAGTATTTGACAAGGTTACATAATCCTCCTTTTTAGACTAACTGTTTTAGTCACGTTATCTAGATAACGTTTAAGGGAATGTCAATTTCATGATCGTATCACTTTTTCCTTTCCTTATTATGTAACTTTGGAACTAATATCACTTGATCTTTATTAAGTGTGCTTTATTAATATTAATGGCAAGTTTAAATTTCAAAAATTTAAATAGAAAGGGTACTTGGCTATAATCTTTATAAATATATCCTTATATCTCTAAGTGTTTATCACTTCATTCATAATTTTGTGACAAACTTATTAACTGATTAATATTTATACTTTGTAGCCTTGGTATAATTGTTGTATATGCTTGTGAGGCAAAATATTTGATCATATGAAATACTTCTATAAATGGAGCAACAATTTGTCCTTTATTGAAATAACCAATAGTACTTAAAACAATAAGCTAAGTAAACATCAATTCGAAATTGAAAACTGATCAAATACTAAAACTTAAACTAATGCGCCACAAAGCTGCAACCCTTGCATCTTCAAGATCAACACTCCTTCTCTTCAGTTCCTACAACAGTTTGCAATACTATAAGTATCGAATACTTTTGAAGAGATTGTAAATTAGTTTAAGTCTTTACAACAATTGTACCTGAAGCAGAAGCTTCACCCTTTTTCTTGGTTGCCAAATACTGCTTGCAATTCCTTTTCCAGTGGCCAACTTCACCACAGTGATGACAAATGGAATCTTTAGCCACTCCACCTTTAGGCTTGAGCTTGGAAGAATTGGACTTTGGCTCGGTGTTACCCTTGCATGTAGGCCCATTCTTCTTTTCCTTTTGAACTTCTTCTTGCCTTTTCCTCCTTGAACTAGAAGGACAGAATTCCCCTTTCCTTTTGTCAAGCTCTCTTCACCAGTTTGCAGCATCTTCAAAAGTTCTGGCAGTGGTTTATGGAGTTCATGAATCTTGTAATTAACCACAAACTGCTTGTATAACTCAGGCAACGATTGCAGAATTAGATCAGTCGCAAGTTCAGTCCTTAGTTCGAAACCCAACTTCTCAAGAGTTTGGACGTAGCCAATCATCTTGAGAACATGCGGACCAACGGGATTTCCAACTGACAACTTGCAACTAAAGAGAGCTTTGTAGATTTGGAATCTCTCATGCCTAGCTTGTCCTTGGTAGAGCTGTCTTAGGTGTATGATCATATCGTACGCCTTCATACTCTCGTGATGTTTCTGAAGGTCAGAAGTCATCGTAGCCAACATGAGACATGCCACCTCATTGTCATCATTAACATGCTTCTCATAAGTATCTTTGATAGCTCTAGAAGCATTGGTGGCCGGGACAGGTGGGATGGCTTGTTCGAGCACGTATTCTATCTTCTCGAGTCGAAGAACGATAACGAGGTTTCTTTGCCAGTCTAAGAAGTTAGAGCCGGTCAACTTATCTTTGTCGAGGATCGAGCGAAGAGTGAGGTTATGGTTGTTATTAGACATCTACATATAATTTGCAAGATAGTTAATATCAAGAATCTAAGTAATTAGCTAGGTCTTTAACTAATAACTCTCCCACTATTTTAACAAATCAACTACCCTCAAGTACGTAACTTGTTGATTCGAGACTTATGCTTAAGAGATATCTTAGTGGGCCAAGGTCCATATTACATTTAACTATAGTTGTGCTTTGCATATTTCCCTATAGTTAAACTAATTAGGTAGGAACTTATTTCCAATTGTGATCCAATCACAATCCTTGGGTTGTTAGGTTGTTGTAAATAAACTTCTATATTGGGCCTAGATCCTTATTTCATCTAACTATAGTTGTGCTTTGCATCTTGCCCTATAGTTAAACTATTTCAGGTAGGAACTACTTGTATTTCCAATTGTAACATTTTACAACTCTAGGTTAGATGAATTTGATTTTATTTATTAACCTAACCATGTGCCTCTAAGTTATTCATCTTTTTACCTTAACTTAGTTAAGTTCAACCCGGGGCGTACTCTGTATCCATTGTTACGGATTTCGCGTCATACCAATGTAAACCAGGCGTCCCGCTTTGGCATGTCCGTTGACTGGTCGAAATTGGTATCGACAAGTGAGTAAGCGTCGGAAGGCACAAACTTAATATTACGAGGGATTTTAAACATGATTTCACCTATGGCATGTGTCGTGCACATACACTAGTGAATATCGTACAAACATACATTCAAACATATAAACATTTATAATGAATAAAATGTGACATGGTTGTGGCCTCCTAAAGAACTAACGATAAAGCCTTCACTTGAGATCTCTATCTCCAGCTTCACCTTCTTTCTTTAAGAGTGCTTTAGTCTTCAAGTTCAGCCTTGTCTTGTTAGTGTTCTCTTCTTCTTGGCTCCTTCATCTTCCTTGCTTCTTCATGGACTTTCTTTGTTTAATCGAGAGAAAAGAATCCTTGCTTTGTAAGTAAGAGGTATGAGGTTTAAGAAGATATTTACAACCAGAATTTAGAGATAAGGCACGACACGCAGGTCGTATTTAAAAACCAATGATTCTAAGCCACAACCACGTACCATGCATACATTCATATATCACATGCATAAAAACCATACACCGGGCAAGCCGTACTCGCCCCAGACCTAGTTTATTCTAAGAAAAATAAACTACAAGACAAAAATTATCAAATAATTTTATTTAACTTTATTTAAAAACTCCAGAATATCCAAAATTTAATTTTGAATTTTCCTGAATTTTAAAATAGTTGATTGTCTTAAATATAGGTATTAATTTCGAAATTGGGATTTTAATTCGAAATAAATACTTATACCTTTTTAAAATCAATAAATAAATTCTAGAATGTGTATTCGGATTTTATAAGTCTGAAAATAAAATTTCCAGAATTTATAAAATATATTTTCGAAATTCTTTGTTCAAATACCCAAAATCAGACTTCTATTTTCCGAAAATTAATTCCAAGTTTCCAAAATTAATATTTTCCAAAAATAATTACTTTGGGTCCGTATTGTTCTGAAAATCAAATTTTAAGAATTAAATAAATTTTATTTTCGGTATTTTGGAATTTGTTTCCAAAAGGAATTAAATTAATTTAGAATATTCCAAATATTCCAAAAATCAATATTTTCCAAAAAAAAAAGTTTTTGACTCATCTAAAATCTGAAACCAAAATTTTCCATGTTTTACTTAAATTTATTTTCGGTACAATCTATTTATTATTTGGTAATCCATAAAACAATTTCTAAAATTATTTTCGTGTACCATAATTGTTCCTAAAATCCGTATTCTCATAATATTATGATATTATTACCAAATATTAAATTTTCATAATTTAAATTTAATTATTTAATTTTCGGGAATTAAATACGGAATTACCAAAACTGTTTTTCCCAAAAATTAATAATTAAATACTTAAATTACTAATTTAATTCTCAAACATTTTATGAAGTCAGAAAATCATATTTGAAAGTTCATAAAATTATAATCCCGAATTTTAATTGTCCTTTTCGATTTAATCTATATTAATACCGAATAAGATTATTTAAATCGGGAAAAATAGAAAATCAAAACAGAAAATTTATTTTAATTTCCCAGAGTACTTATCATCATATTTTAACATTCAAGAAGTATTAAAATTATTTTGCATAATTTATTTTGTATTTATCTTGTAATTAATCAAATTAACTACAAATCAACTATTACCTTATAAATTAGAAAATAAATTCCTAAAATTAATTTTAAATTTTCAGAGCTCTTAAAATAATATATTAAAGTCTCAGAATGATTAAAATTATTTTTCCATAATTTATTTTGTATTAATCTTGTAATTAATCAATTTAACTACAAAACAAACAATACTTTATAAATTAGGAAATAAATTCAGATAATTAATTTTAAATTTCAAGCGCTCTTTAAATCATATTTGAAAGTCTCAGATTTAATAAAATTTAATTTTAGAATTTTAGAAATATTTTAATTGGTTAAAACAGTTTTTAACCGATTAACCCGAAAATAAAAATAAGTCCAAAATTTAATTCAAAAATCATATTTTCGAATTTTATAAAGTCCAAAATCATATTTTGGCACTTTCTTGAATTTTGGATAATTTTCGAAAAATATATACACATATATTTTATTTTATCAGTTATCAAAAACACTAACGGCAATTAGATCTACAAAACTTATCACTCTCATAAGTCGGCTCTGATACCACTGTTGGGTTCTGCGCTTGGATAGGGCAGCGGAAAACAAAAATTTTGATATCCAAACCATAGTTTTCAGAACCGGACCGGTGACCGAACCGGTCAAGGTACTGGTTCACTGGTTTACTGGTCGAACCGGTGGTTTAAACATATTTAAAAATTATATAAATATAAATAAATAAATATATATGTGTGTGTGTGTGTATATATATGTATATGTATATATATTTACACACACATACAAACATACATATAGACACACACATTCTCATTTATAAATATCTAAAGAAAGTAATTTATAACATTTAAGTAATATTATATTAATATACTTGAGTTATTTTATAAAATTAAAAAATAAAATTTACATATTAAAAAAATATAAAAGAATTTTGAATGAAGAATTGAATTGAATTTTTTTTCAAATAAGTTGTTTAATATTAAAAAAAACGAAATCTTTGCATGATTTGCATTTTGTAATAGTATCAATAATATCAATGATTTTGTGTTTGACTCATAGCTATATAATATAATATTTCTAAAATTGAAAATGAATTTATATATACAATCTTTTTTGTAATTATGAAATATTATAAAAGATTATGTGAACTTGTAACAAAAAGCACCATTGCTTGGATGGTTAGGAGCTCAACCAAATGTCTAAGAGGTCTTGTGTTCAAACTCCCATGGTGGCATGTTTTGGAAAAAATCAGCAAAAAAAAAAAACTGGACGGACCGGTTCGACCAGTCAATTTTTGCCGGTTCAAAGCAGGTTACGGTCCAATGGGCCGGACCAGACCGGTTGGACCACCGGTTCGCCGGTTCACGGTCCGAACCGACCGGTCCGGTCCGGTTTTTAAAACTATGATCCAAACGTAGATCCACCCAGGACCTCGTATGATTATGATAAGTTATTGTTTAGAAATATACCTTTCTTGGCGAGCAAGCAACGATATGTGTTGGTTGATGGATTGAACCAAGAGCTAGCCACAAAAGTATATGACATCCAGTTGAGACACACGAACAATGAAGAGCGTTCTAGAGAAAATTATGCTAGTAATTTTACTCTAGATTATTTCTAAAATATAAAATATTTGGTGTAAAATATTAAGAGAACAAAACAAATTTTTCTCTCTTGAAATATGCTATGGCCGAAATTTCTAGTGTGAAAACGGGTGGGATGATCTCCTATTTATAATCCTATTTATAAGGAGCATAATCACCATTCCTATTCCTAATAGAAATGTACCTTTTAGAGTTTAGGAAGGAAATCAAATCTCATTCCTATTCTACTTAGGAAATTTCAAATGGCACTTTAAGGAAGCTTCCAATTTATTTTGTCAACTTTAATTATCATATAATTAACACAAAATAAATAATATACCCAGAGTAATATATATATATATATATACATATATATATATAATAATTATGTTATATTATGTTCCTTAAATAATATTTCACAAACTTAATTATCATATAATTAAAATGTCCAAATATTATATATATATATATATATATATATATATATATATATTATTATTATTAAATATATTTGACAAACTTAATTATCACATAAATAAAATGTCCAAATATTTATTCATATATATATGTTTGTGTATTTAATCATATTGTCATACAATATAATACACACTGATGGCTATAAACCACCGAGAGTATGAAATAATATAAAGTTTTAGAGAGAGAGAGTGTGTGCGCAAAGTGGGAGTATATTGAATTCAAAATTCGGTCCCATTACAAGGAGGGGTGCCACCCCTTTTATAGGGGGTACAAAATACTAAGTCAAAGCCCTCTGATCGAGGCCCGTCGTTTAGCGGACGTCACCTGTCCTTAGGTCTTGTCCCTTTCAGCCTATCGCTTTCACCAAGTCTCCGTTGAACGTCGTTTTCCGCACGTCTTGTCCCTT